AACAACAATAACATTAACAATAACATTATAACAATAATAATAGTAACAATAATAGTATAATTGATGATATTTACTCACAACAATCTAAGCCCCCGTTTGGACATCAATGGGTTTGGCCAAATTAAACCGCCAACTTTTTACAAAGTGAAACGCTGCAAGCCTGCAAAGAGCAGTGGTTTGGTGAGAAACCTCCAAAAAACAAACGGAGCCTAAATTTAATTGATGGAAACGGATGAGGATGAATACATTAACCTCATTTTTTACAAATCATATTTTGTTCAATCACGGAAATTTCATAATTATAAAATTTAATCCAAATAAATTTGTGTTGGTTCGATATATTTTTTCCTTAAATATTCAAGATGATTGTAATTGTGAGATTTAGTATAAATAAGGATCCTACGATTTGAAATAATGTAATGATGTTTATATTTTTATTTGCGTATTCAATATCTTTTTTTACGTTTTGAGGAACTTGAACTAGACGTCTTATTTTACTATATATGATGACCCCAATTTTTATTAACAACATTTTTCATATATTATTTACAAACGAAATTCAAAAAATCTTTCATTGTATTAAATTGCATTAAGTGTTGAATAAATTAAGTTTGGCAAGTGTTTCAAAAGTACTTACTGCTTGTGTTTTCAACATTTTTGCGCTAGTGAAAGTAAGTGCATGTGTTAATTTCTTTCATGTCTTGATTAAACAATATATTTCAATTTGTATGTTTCAAACTACGAACTAATCTTGTGTACTTAGTGTGTTTTAGTTTTTAATAAATTTGAATAACATACTTCATACTTATTTGAATTTGAAAGTTTCGGTATGAAAATAGTTTACAATATCTTACATTATTATTACGAATGTGTACGACAACAGGAACAATTATAATTAATGTATTGTCCACAAACTATTATTCAACATGGTTTTTCTTGTCACTCAAATGTCACCTTAAATTTTCCTTGCCAAACAAAAATTGTCCAAGGATTGGATCAATTGTGTATCACTAATATTGTGCATAGATTTGCCAACACATGTGCTTGACTGTTAGTAATGAGTTTTCCCAACACCTTTCCTCTCGACACTTTTTAAGTGTGTTGGAAATTCTTAGGGTGTCTATCTTGACACTTTTTCCTATTTTTCCCGACATTTTGTGTGTGTCAAGAAATGTTACTTTTCCAATTTTTCCCGACACTTCATCAAATTCAATGAGAAAAAAATTAACATTAATTCTTTTGATTTTTACCGAATTCGGTGCCTAACATTAAATTAAAAAAACGGGTTTTTTACAAAAATATTATTAAAGTAAAACTTATTTACACAAATATGACCACTAGTTACTACAATGTAGTGTCATGGTAACTTTAAAATTTAAACATAAGTTACTATGATTTCATTACTACTCAAGTCACTAATCACATTTTTGTAAATAATCTTTATTTTAGTCATAAATATGTAATTAGGACTAACAAGATTTTTGTCTATTTGTAATTCTAAAATAAGATTATTGTGTTTTTAATCATTAAATAAGACTAAAATCGTTCGTGAATTCTATAATAAATTATTGTGTTGCTACTCATTAAAAAGGTAAGAGAGAATCACATTTTCCATCCCTTAAATAGTGCTGATATTGAAATGCAACCTCTATATTTTCAAGTTGTAAATTTCACCCCTCGTCCCCTCAATTGCCCCAATGCATTTAAATGTTGTCATCGCCCATAATGTAAACGTCAACCCTCAAAGAACGCCATTTACCACAATTTTACAATTTAGGTGGGTCATTTCAATATGCATAATATTGAGAGAGTAAAAATGAGATTTTCTGTCTGTTTGTATTTAATTGTTAAATTTTACTCCCTCCGTCCCGAAATAACTTTCCTGTTTTCCTTTTCGGTCTATCCCAAAGTAATGGTCTTCTTTTCTCTTTTGACAATAATTTGTGACTCATATTAATTCATCTTTTTCTACTCAAATTTCAACCATAACTTTAACTTTTTCAACTACTTTCTTAAAACTTGTGCTGAAGCAAACAAGAAGATTATTTTGAGACGAAGGGAATACTACGTATATTTTTTCTTATTTTAGGGAATACTACGTATATGTTTTCTTATTTTAGGGGCCCACAATTCACCATTTGAACCTGGGCCTTCAAATTGACAAGACGGCCCTGCTTATATGGATCCTTGCTCATTGCATTTGATAGTGGGACTCTGGGTAGATTCAGTCATTCAGCCCAGCTCATGTAGGACTATACAACTCAGTAGCTTCCCCACGCCAACAATGAATTGCCATTAAACTTCAACGCTCCAGAGCCCAGAGCATTTCATTTCCTGATCTTCATCATATACATATACTTACTGCATTTCTTCTGTTCCAATTTCACAAACCTCAACTATTTGAGAAGAAATCATATCCAATTTCTCACTCTAAGGTACGCATGCATTTTTCTGGTTGGAAAATGGTGCAGAGTTACAAGTGTTTGAGTAGAACTATCATAGTGCATTCACCCATTGTTCTATAAGTTCTATTGCTTAGTTTGCTCAAAAGTTTTACGTTCTTTATCCTGATTTGGACCTCCTTTCATTCTCCCTAATACATTATATTCGTCTTCATACTATATTCAGCAAGCTTTAATTTGGGAGCTTGGATGATTCCTTTTAAGTTGCTCGACTCTCATCCAAAGGGAAGTCTTTTTCGGGTTTAATTAATAATGCATCCATCGAGCCTAACTTTTATGAACAATTTATGCCCTCTAGTCTTTAAAAACTACTGTAAAGTAAAACAATGAAAACCTTATTCTAACATTTTCCTTTTTTGTTGTTGTGTTGAACACTTACCTAATCAAATTAGAAACCTATAGCATAAATCTTACTTTTCACTCTTGTCCCAACATTTAATTAATGCACTTCTGTCAATAATTCGCTGTTCCATTATTAGATGGTGGGTCCAATATGATTCTTTTGTCAAATGCGGAATACCAAATAAACAAATGTTTTTGTCCAAAAACAAAGGTTTTTTGTACAAAACTATGGCTCTATAACAGTGTAGACCGTAGAGTACTGAATAAAAAATAAACGAACTACTGAGTAGTAAAAATCGTAGGAGTAAACTCCCCATTCTTGTCAATAATTTCCAGAAAAATTACTCCGCATCTCTCCTGCGGTATATGGTTAAAGATTATTATATATTTCTGTATAAAGTAAAAGCTTACTGTGTATATACTTGTATGTTATGGGTTAAACGGTTCTTGATATGGTATTGCTGGTGCTGAATCTGCTGATTGGTTCCACATATATTGTTGATGATCAAACATTCAAACTGCGTCTATTTTGATATTCCAGAGAGGTGTGGAGGAAGCTACAACATCCGTTCCTGCCAGTAATCCGAGGCTAATCCATTTCGATGATCTATTCTCATTGACCAGAGGTGGTGTTGTGAGTGTAGAGGAGGACCATTCAAGTGATTCGTGTAGAGGAAGGAAGCATTACCGTCCAGGTGAAAGTAGGCTAGAAGAAGAGGAAAGGAGCAGCAAGCAGAGTGCAGCTCATAAGGAGGATGACTTGTCAGAAGTGTTTGATAAGGTTTTGTTGTGCACCGACGATAACGATGATTCTCCATCTGGAACAGCGAAACAACAACATATAATGCAAAGTGGTCGCAAGAGCCGTTCAAATAAACGAGGAGACGGTTGTGAAATTGTAGATCTCCAGTCTCTTTTGATCATTTGCGCACAATCTATTGCTGATGCTCATTACAGGGATGCAGAAGAACAATTAAAGTTGATCAGGCAGTACTCTTCGCCTACTGGTAGCGCAAACCAAAGGCTGGCACATGCATTTGCTGAGGGTCTTGAGGCACGGCTAACTGGAACCTGGCCACAACTCTATCCTTCGTCGTCATTTCGCAACAAGATCTCCATTCCCGAATTACAAAAATCCCACCAGTCATCATCTATGCCATTCGTGAGAATAGTAATCTTTGCGAATAAAATGATTTATGAAGTAGCATCAAGAGGTGCATCGCTCCACATTATAGATTTTGGCATTCTTCTTGGTATCCAGTGGCCCACTCTTATTCGAGATCTTTCACAGAGACCCGGTGGCCCTCCAAAACTTCGAATAACAGGTATTGAGCTTCCCCAACCTGGTTTTCGCCCGTCGCAAATGCTAGTCGAGACAGGTTGTCGCTTGCCTAAATATTGCAAGTGTTTCGGTGTACCATTCGAATACAATGCAATAACAGAAACGAATTGGGAGAAAATTAAAGTTGGTGACTTGAAACTCGTGAGTGGTGAAGTCATTGCTGTTAACTCTATGGATCGATTTAGACGCCTACTAGACGAGACAATATGTTGCTGACTGCCCAAGGGACAACGTTTTAAACTTAATCCGGGACATAAACCCTCAAATATTTGTGCATTCCGTGCTGAGTGCATCTCACAGCTCTCCCTATTTTGTCAATCGGTTTCGAGAGGCGCTCTTCTTCTACTCTGCTCTCTACGATATTCTTGAAGCTGTTTTTCCACACAATGATAGTCAAAGGTTGAACTTCGAACAAGTTTTTATGGGGCCTACTATAAATAATATTGTAGCATGCGAGGGCAAGGAAAGGTTAGACAGGCCTGAAACATATAAGCAATGGCATAGACGCACTATGAGGGCTGGGTTCAAGCCTCTACCTGTGAGCCCTCGACTTACAAAGGAATTAAGAGGCAAGGCGAAAGAATCACATCACAAAGACTTTCTGTATTCTGAAGATGGCCATTGGGTGTTGCAGGGGTGGAAAGGCCGTATTCTTACCGGCACCTCTGCCTGGGTAACTGACAACTGAAATATCCTTTAAGATATCGTATTAAAAAATATTAAATGGATAACAGGAGAGTCTCTTCCCTATTCAGTTAGAAGAAAACTGTAAAACTAGCCTGTGCAATTGCATATTCGCATAGACATTTTATGAAATCAAGCAGAAATTGATCAGCTGCTATTAGGTCTTTGAAATTTCCAAATGAACATCAAATGGCTCTGTGCAAATAAGAAAATTCATTTTTAAGAAAAGAAAGGAAATATCAAGCATGCAAAACTTTAAAATTTCCTAATCTAACTCACCTTGTAACCAACACCGAACGTTGCTGAAATGCGTCAGCAGTAGCAAGAAAATCACGTGAGCATAAAACGGCTTGCCTTGTTGATGATTATAACAGCAACATATAATAGCATTAGAAGCATAGGTATTGAAAGGATACAGCAGGGATATGAATAGGCAATATAAGATTTCATATCATCAACTAAAAAATATCACTTTTGGGAGTTATACTAGATACTAGCTTTACTATGAATAAACAAAACAAATCCCAACGTTAATCAAAACAATGCTTCCACTATATAATTGGAAATATATTACCTCCTCAGTCTCAACCCCATAGAAAGAGTCATTTTTTGACCAAGATACATGGCAATTTTGGACGCGATTTTCACTATGGGTCATCCGGAAACAGTTTCTTTGTGCTTTAGTACAGGGGTAAGACTGCGTACATCTGACCCCCCCTTACCCCACCGTAGGTGAGAGCCTTTGCGGCACCGGGGTAAATGAAAATGAATGTTGTCATGGCAAAGTACAATTGTTATAAGTCATAACTGGTACTTGCATTTTAGATTATTTTAGTTTACCTAAATTTATCACACTAAACTTGTTTGTGATTCTGTTTTGGCAAACTTTTCGTAAATAGGATATACATTTAATCAATTTCTGCGCTGCAACTTTTCTGGTTAGTTACCCTTACAACCTTACTGATGTAAAAAAACATGAGAAAGCAAAATCCAATGAAATTTGATGTCATAGAATACTATATCCAGAGACAACTCAAATGAATATTGGTTGGTGAAATATTACTTCATACTTGAATGATAAATTCTCCATCTTGATGTTTATGAACACCCCAATCTTGATTAGATAATTAAGATCTGCAACATTATCCTACAAAAGAATGTCACACTGTCACAAGTTCCCAAAATGAATAACATATTCTGAGAATATGCCACAACAAATCAAAGAATGGCCAAACATGAGAAAAATGTCAAACTTTTTCATTGTCCCCATGCCCATAGAGTGCAAATGCAGCATTGTGTTGCAGACTTGCATGTTTCTAATTTTTCGAGTCTAAGAAGACTGAATAATGGCAAAATAGAACCACTATATATGGACAATACAAGCTTGGTTTTGTGTATCCTTGAAGGCTAGAAGTATATGAAGGGAGAATAATTAACGTGAAGGGGAAAATACACATAAAGAACTAAGTAAGCAAAGTGAGAAGAAAGATGGTTTACTGTAAACCTCAAGAGCTAAATTTAGACATGGCCAAATTGGGATTAAGTACGAAGTTTGAAATAAGAAAAAAAATTGTGTAGAGGATAGAAAAATCAGCAAAATCACAAATTATTTGATTTAAGGGCAAATTGGCAGTCTTTTTTGAGACAAACAAAAAAGGAAAGTTAGCCAAGTCTAATTGGATGAAGAGAGTATATCTTTTTAGCATTTATATGGATCATGTTTATCTACTATACAATCTCAAGAACGCATCAAAAATATTTTACAAAATCATACTTAACTCTGCACGTAATCAAAATGTTTTCCAAAATAAGCTGAAAAGTAGACTTATCTATTAAACTTTACCCAAAATTGTCCATCAAATTATGGAGACACTTGGCTGTTTGGGTATCAGTTTTGTGCTGAGCTGAATTCTAGTTTAAACGTTATTGAATTATATATAGGAATATATCTGTTAACTGTTTTTTAATGTGGTCAGTAAAAGGATCCGCAGTGAAAGGTTAAAGTGACTAACCATTGATTAGACTGTAAGTTTAACTTTTTTTAAGGACCCAATAAATCCGCAGGGTTAGCACGATGGCGGGGGAAGGCTTGCAGCAGGCTGTGGTGAGAAATCTCATGGACGATACTGGCAAGGCTTGGGACGAGGACATTCTCGATGACATTTTTACGGGCCGGGATGCTGCTCTAGTCCGAAGTATCCCCCCAGGTTTTCGCCTTTTCGGTCAGGAGCAGCTAGCCTGCTACAGGCGTCTAATTGGGGAGCTTAATTCCGACGTTTGGACGGGATGAACTGGTATGTGGAATTGGAGACTTCCTCCTACAATTAAAATCTTTTTTTTGGCAGGTTTGTAGCAGATGCTTACCAACCAAGGAAATGCTAATGTCTCGGCGGGTGAATTGCTGAGCGAGCTGTGGATTATGCGGTGAGGATGGGGAATCATTATTCCATATTTTCCGATCATGTTCCATTGCTCAAGAAGCGTGGAGGTCAGTCTCCTGGAGTTGGGCCGGCTATGGAGGTAATCACTTTCTGGAGCAACTTAAACATGAATTTCAAACAAGAAGAAGGGAAGATTTGGAAAATCTGATTTGGGGGGTGTTGAGCCTTATGGTGCGAAAGAAATAGAAGGTTGTGGCAGAACATTTCCTCACCTGCAAAAGATATCATGTATAGAGCAAAATCCTTTGTTTTGGGTTGGTCCCCGGCGCAGATGGAGAGAACGGTAAAGACTTCTGCTGCAGAGCAACCTGCTCCCGTTTGGCGTCGACGGGCCTGTTGTGAATAGAAAAATAAAAATAAAACGGATAAACCGTTGCCCACATAATCAACCATAAAAATTCATTGATTATGTGCAGTTTGGCCAGAGCGTTGCGGTTTGGGATGGTGCTTATGTGATGAGGATGGGAACTTCATAGCCAGGTATGGCCAAACCTTGGCCTGGGAAGGTTTCTCCTTTGGAGGCGGAGCTGATTGGGATAAGAGAAGCCCTTAGAGCATCTCCAATGCACATGTGGCATGAATGTGGCATGAGTGATAGCCACATAATTATTAGCAAATAAATTATTTCTCTCCTTATTTGAATGATTTTATACAATTTTGGTAAGTTTTTCCCTGCAATGTCAACAACAATGTCAACATTAGACGGTCTCCTTGACATTGTGGACAAAAACTTACCAAAACTATATAAAATCATTTAAATAAGGAGAGAAATAATTTATTTACTAATATTTATGTGGTCATCTCTCATGCCACGTGTGCACCGTGCACATTGTACCATTGAAGATGCTCTTAGCTAGATACAGGGATCTGTTTGCCAGATATCTAGGTGGAGTCCGATGCTTCCCGAGCCATCTAGGAAATTAGGAAGGGTTCAAGCCAGAGCTAGCACACTGGGTCAGACTAGGCCGATACAAAGAATATTTTTGAAAAAAAAATTGCCCAGAATTTTTTACACAAAAAATAAAGACATTTTCTTAATTTGGGTTGGGTCAGGGCCAAGGTTGGCCCACCCCTATCTCCGCCCCTGGTTCAAGCTGCTCCTCTTTTGGTTTGGTTGCGGAAGACATTAGAGATCTTGCGAGAAATTTTTCTAGTATCTCATTCTCTTTAATTAGGCGGTGAATAAGCTAGCTCATACCATTGCTAAATCCGCTTATTTTATGTCTGATTCGCATTCTTGGTTTTATGATTCCCCTTCTTTCATTTCTTGTATTCTTGACAATGATTTGATTAATGGAAGTTAAGTCTTTTACTTGCAAAAAAAATAACCAGCATAGTGAGATATTTTTGATAATCCGCCCCACTGGGATAAATACTATAATAACCTCAAATTCAACCATAGTTATTCCCAACATATTTAATACTATAATCATATTTAAATGTGATTAAATACTAAGGGGGTGTTTGGATCTGATTCTCAAAACTGATTCTGCTTCTTCAGGGAGCATAAGCAGAAGCTGGAGTGTTTGAGTGAAATTCCAGAAGCACTTCTGGTGCTCTAATTTACTCTCAGAATCAGTTTTTTTAGAAGCTGGGGGGTACCAGCTTCTGAAAACTGATTCTGATTCTGCTTCTGCTTTAAAAAAGAAGCAGAAGCAGAAGCAGAATCAGTTCCAAACACCCCCTAAAATACTCACCTAAAGTAGAACTTGTGCCTTCCTGCTGATATATATCCTCCTTTAAAGATTTGCTTGATGGGCTTCTTTCTAAAGATCCAAGCCAAAGGATGAGTCTGGAGGATGTAGCAGAACATGAGTGGGTCATAGGAGATCAAGGCCGCATACCTGAGTACAATTGTTGGTGCCAGAGAGCAAAAAACTAACAGCAACCCAAATGTCATCTAGTAGCAGCTGTTTGTGCACCATTTCTTTTATTTTACCAGATTTCACCTTCATGTGTTCAAGGAAAGGTGAATGGTACGTGACTAGGGTGCTGTTTTAAAGCTCAGTAAAAAAAATGAACCAGGCAAATGTTAAAAATCATGTTAGATAAAGATGACCCGACAATCCTTTTTTTTAAAAGTGTAACTATCTTTGTTATAATCTTAAAATAAATATTTAATTCCTAACATAAAGGAAAAACATGCACAATTGCAGGTAGATGTTACAACCATACAACCAACAATAGACATTGCAAAAACCAGCAAAAAAACACTTCAAAAATAGCAAGAAAATGTTAAAACTGCAAGGAAACGTAGGCAGCTATACATGTGTTAGAAAAATGCTAAAAACAATAGAAACAACAAAAACCAGCAAGAAAAATATGCAATAACCTACAATAAATAAAACCTGCTCTAAACCTTAAACATATGAAAATCTGCTTCACAAATGCTTGGAACAACAAAAATCAGCAAGAAAAACCTTTAAAAATAGCAAGAAACCGTGTAGAATTGTAGGGAAATGTAGCAGAGGGAAACCATGTAGATTTGTAGAATTTGTTAGTACCCAATTTTGATAGATTTTGATGATGCCACTATACTAAGCTCATGTATGACTCGTGCTCCTATTCTTTGTTACAATATCAAAAGTTGACTGATGTACCAAGAGGAAAAGAATATAATACTCAAATGTGACAAATTAATAGTGTTCAATTTTTTTACCAAATAAATATTACTGGAAATTTAGAAATGGAATAAGGTAAATTTTATTTACCTTAAAAGGATATTTAAAATCCTATCAGTATAATTTTATGTGGTACATAAATTAACCAGTCACAAAAGTACACTATCAACTAGTCAAAAGTGACAAAATAAAATGTGCAACTTTTGTATTAGATAGATTTTACTCGTAAATACAATAAAGTAAATTTTTTAAGACCCTACCAGTACAAATTTTATTTTATACAAAAAGTTGAAGTCACAAAATTAGTGTAAGTTCAAAAATAGAACATGTCATACATGAAAACCATATACACTGCATGTGTATGACTGAAGACAAAACAAAAGAGCATTAAATACTCAAATAGTATATGTGTGACACCGCACCCGAACGTCCTTGAAAATTCGATTTAAAAATTCAAAAGTGATGTATTGAATTTCCGATTTCAAAGCAATGGAAGAAACGATTAATATTTTACGAAGTACATGATTGAATATTGTATTGTTCAAACCCGCATTCTTTTGTAATTTTCATCGTGTAAATTATTGGGATGAGCCTACACATATTGGAGATCAATAATGTGATTTAGGAAGTTGACTTGCTCTAAATAAGTTAGAATGAGTACAAAAAAAGACATCTTTTGACAAAGATAAAACAATAGGACCCATCTTCCCATTTTTGGAAGTATTGGTAGATATTTTGGACCCCAAATTAAATGGGATCATTTGGGAACCATCCCACATGACCTTGGTACCTGCAAAGACAAAGAAAAATGGATGAGACAACTATGTGGGGCGGACTTTTGACTCATGAGCTACAACATTACAAAAAGGAAATAAAAGAGGAGGTCCATACCATGTTTGATTGCAATCAAATACCCCACCCTTCTTTTTTGTGAACCACATGCTCTCTTAGCATGATTGAGGCCTTCCTAATACATTTTCCCTACACCCCATTCGAACTCCCAAGATAAGAGAGAAAGAGGGAGCCACATATTCCAAGGGAGAAGAGAAGAGAGAAGCTGGCCGCAGGATTCGTTTTCCAGCAGATAGGGTCTCTTGTTTGATTCATAACTTGAGCTTCACTCGTCCAAATAAGGCGTATGATATACCAAAAGAAAGCTCTCAAGACGAGGAATCTGTGAAGGCCTGGTTTGCAGGAATCGGAGTTGTGGAAGGCTTCCAAATCGTCCGAGAAAAACGCAACCTCGCAGGAGAGGATTTAATCTTCTAAAGTGAGTTTTAACCCCAAAGCTTTACTTTTCATTCTCCAAATGATATGAACGATTGGTGAGACTATTATACACTAATACAAGTGTATAATATGTCCTTATAAAGTTATTTTATTGATGTAAAGGTTAGATACTAACCTAGATGCAAATATTGGAAAACTAGGAATCGAGTTAGCCGGAAAACACCCGTTCTAGGGGCTGTTTTCGTATCAACGATTAAGGGTTGAACTAGCACTTTGAGGAGGCTGTTTAACACTCATATTTGAGCAAGGAATCAGTCCCAAATCCACCTTGACCAAAGATTTGACCGTTGGACCAAGAAGGGAAAGTTTAAAGCTCAATTGAGGTGAGGATTGACATCTAATTGCTTACAACTTGTAGGTTAAGCATGAGATTACCTAAATGTTTAAATCATGATTTTTCATGGATTATGATGACTATATATTGATGAAATATTGATATAGTTGCCAAAGAATGAATTTGGAATGATTTGAGAAAGTATGAACGATATGAGATTAAATGAGTATAAATGAACTATTTTGTGAAAATGGGCATTTGCTCATGTATGAATTATGTGGATACATAAATGAATATTTGTGTATTGAGATTGAATACTTAAGTTGCTGCTACATAATTATAAATATGTAGAGAATTACAAACAATGAGGATAATGGTACGATAACAATAATCTTAATAGTATTGGAATACTAGTTAGTGATTATTGGAACTTGTTGATTAAATTGATCCTAGGGATTGGATTGTATGAAAGGTACTTGAATGTAGTTCAAGTGTATATGATAACTTAGTATGGAACTAAGGTTAAGTTATGGGGAGTCTTTAAGGATGACCCATGGTAGTTTAATGATATGTCAATTCTAGGCATAGGGTTGCTTGAGAATTGGACCTTAATGCATGGTGATGTGATAGAGCCGAGCTCTAGAATGCATGTAAGGTGTAGACTTGGAGTCTATGTATTGTATAGCTAGAGCCGAGCTCTAGGACTTGCGTGGTGATGTGATAGAGCCGAGCTCTAGAACGCAAGGTAGGGAGATTGACCCGAGGTATATGAATTGTATGGTGATGTGGTAGAGCCGAGCTCTAGAATACAATGTCATGTACTAGGGTTGGACTCTAGGAGTTGTCGTGGCTTATAGTCACGGGGTTGGGAATGGTGATTTCCAAATAAACATGGGCCCACGGGCCGACTACTTGACTTTTATATTAAGTAAGTATATTTTTAAACGGGGTAACTAGGGTTACAAATCATAATGTACTATCACCCTATTTGAGGGTCTTGTGTTTGAAATACTTGTTGTATATCTATTAGATGCCTGCCACACCAGTACTTTATAGCCGTATAGAGTACTGACCCCTTCGGGGGCGTCCCACCACCATTTTTCAGGTTGAGGCTAGAGCTTGCTTCCTGTGCTCGTTGCTCGAGAGATCATATAGGAGGGAAGACTTGGTTCGTGCTTCCTCCATACTGTTTTTAAACCTTCCTAAACGTGCTCATGGATATTTTACTATGGAGCCTGCGTGCTCATGAAATGCCTTGTGTGGCCTTTTGTTTTAAACAATGTTTCCGCTGCGTTATGAATTACTTATTATGTTTGTTTATGGATGTGTATGTGTGAATGATACTCGAGACGCCTTGTATAATATGAATGTGTTGGACTGCGGTTGACTATTCGTATTGTACGGCGGGTTGTTGACGTGTCCGGATAGGTCCGGGGCGTGACAATTAAGTTGGTATCAGAGCCTTAGTCCATAAACTTCATAATGAAGTCTCAAAATTCTCTTTTTGAAAAGATTTTGAAAACCATGAGCATAGAAGTTTTGTACTTGGAGAGCTTTTGGTACTTGGGTTGCAAGGTCTCTAATTGTTAAGATGGTACCCTTAGCAATTGGTATGGCAGTGACTCGAGCCAAAATGTGTCTTAAGTACCTATCCGTCAATTGACATTTGATACGAGTCTAACGACTCTTTCCCAATTTCTTTCAGAAATGGACCGTGGTGGCAGGATTACTAGGAGAAACCCGACCGGCCGTGTACCAGAGGAGACTGGACAGGGCAGTCGAAGGACCTCTAGGGCATCTAGAGGAGCTGGCCGTGGAGGCCGATCACAGACCGTGAGTGACGGTCATGTCGACACAGAAAGTGAAACCTACTGGTCCTATGAGGACTCGACTTACCAACCGGGGACCGAGCCGGTTGAGACCCCTTACGAAGGGGATGACGATGATGTGAGCGATGAAGAGGGGGAGAATGACTCCCTAGCAAGAATAGAGGCGCTGCTCCAACAATATCACCGTGAGCGTGAAGAGAGGAGGGAACGCCGAAGGCGCCGGGCTGGGCAACCTTCGGGCATGGCTTCACGAGGAGGAAGTCATGGTGCATCTAGAGTCCATGTGGAACCACGTGGAGGCCAAAATGATGGAGGTCCAACCATAAGGATCTCCAAGTACATCAAAGAAGCAAGAGATTTGGGGTGCAAACCCTTTGATGGAGCAGGGGACATTTCAGTGGCAGCACAATGGATCAAGAGGCTAAATGAAGCGGCCCTTGACATGCAAATCGCGCCGAATCTCAAACTGAGAATTGCGGTAAGATTGCTCGAGGGGATGGCATCCAAGTGGTGGGATGGAACCAAGAACAAGTACGGTGAGACCGTCGTTTGGGAGGACTTCCAACGGGAGTTCTTTGCCCAATACTATTCTGATTTCGAGGTGAATAAGAAGGTGAGGGAATACACCCTCCTAACCCAAGGGGGTAATATGTCAGTGAAGGAGCTTGAGTACAAGTTTCGGGATCTCGCCGACTACATACCGGAGTATGCTTGTGACGAGAACCGCATGGTGAACCACTTTTGGGACGCTCTTGACTTGGAGATACGTGATAGGGCAACGCAATTGCCTAATATGACTTTCGCCCAAGTGGTTGAACAAGCATTGAAAGGGGAGAAACAGTGGGAGGAACGGAAGAAGAGAGACGCCGAAGAGGCGAAGTAGAGAAAATGGGAGAGTCATGGCTCCCAAGGTTCCAACAAAAGGGGGAACCACGGAGGAGGATCTTTCCGGGCACCACCGCCACCATCAAGGGGGAACCAAGGCCCAAGTGGGCAAGGCTCGAGGTCACAGACCTCAGTGGTAACTCGTTGCAACAATTGCAAGAGGAACCATTCCGGTAAATGTCGCGACCCCCCTAGATGTTTCCAATGTGGGGATGCCGGGCATTTGAAGGCACATTGCCCACAACTGGGCGGGGCAAGGACATCGGGACCAAGTAGTGGCCCGACGGGTACACGGAATCAGACCGGGGCTTCTCAAGCAAGCAGGGGGCAAGGGGGAGCAAGTGCGAGCAACGCGCCATCCGTGAACCAAGGGAGGACCCAGGCTAGGGTCTATGCGATGACGGAGGCGGATGCTCAAGCTAACCCGGACTCCGTCGCAGGTATTGCCTCTCATATACTAGTGTTTTATCCTTAATTAGTCCATAAATTGAGGATACTAATCGCTAGGATCATTGCACGAGGTTTTGGGGTCGAACCGGGGGATTTCGGGCAACTTCAGGCGGCTGGGACCCAGGCACGATCGTGCTTAAGGCAGACACGATCGTGCCTCCAAGTCAGTAGCTGCCCAGGAATATTCCCAGCCCAGGCACGATCGTGCCTAAGGCAGACACGATCGTGCCTACAAGGCAGTAGCTGCCCAGGGTTTTTCTCCAAACCAGGCACGATCGTGCCTAAGTCAGACACGATCGTGCCTCCAAGTCAGTGGTTCCCAGGATTTTTCCAACCCAGGCACGATCGTGCCTAAGGCAGACACGATCGTGCCTCCAAGGCAGTAGCCCCAGGGCGTTTTCCTGAGCCAGGCACGATCGTGCCTACCCCGGGCACGCCGTGCCTGGCACCCAGATTGCCGAAACCCGATTTTTTCGCATCGTTTTGCGACGTTAAGGCCTCTTCTTGATCCCTAACGTGCGTGTGAACATTGCAACCTTCTATAAATGAGTAGGGAGGGTAGGAAAGATGTCTTACATGGTTCATGAATGTAGGGACACTAAAGATTAACGGGAAGGATGCACGAATCCTTATCGATACCGGAGCGCAAGTTCATTCGTGAGTGAGGCGTTTGCCGAGAGCTTAGAGATGCAATCAATACCAATGACACAAACCTTAGTGGTATCAACCCCACTAGGGGAAGACGTTGAAAGAAACAATTACTATCCATCTTGTATGGTGGAAATCGGTGGCCAAACCTTGACGTGTGATTTCGTACCGCTGAGTATGATGGAGTTCGATGCAATCCTAGGGATGGATTGGCTAGAAAAGCATCATGCTAGGGTAGATTGCTACACAAAGGTGTTGGAACTCGAAGGCACACAGGGGGACACCCTACGCTTCGAGGGGGACCGCGGCAAATCAAATAGTTGTATCATATCCGCCGTGAGAGCGAGAAATATGATGAGGAAGGGATGCCACGCATATCTAGCATACGTGGTTGACAAAACCAAAGAGGAAACGAACATCGATGATGTGAGGGTGGTTTGTAAGTATCCGGATGTCTTCCCTAAAGACCTACCGGGGCTTCCACCTGACAGAGAGATTGAATTTGTGATCGAGGTCGAGCCTGGTACCAAACCAATCTCCATACCGCCATACCGGATGGCACCCGCTGAACTTAACGAGTTGAAAACCCAATTGCAAGAGCTTTTGGATAACGGTTTCATTAGACCAAGCCACTCCCCGTGGGGAGCACCGGTTCTTTTTGTGAAAAAGAAAGATGGGACACTTCGAATGTGCATTGACTATCGTCAACTGAACAAGGTCACAATCAAGAATAGGTATCCGTTGCCTAGGATTGATGACTTGTTTGATCAACTACGAGGAGCAACCATGTTTTCGAAGATTGACTTAAGGTCGGGGTACCATCAATTGAAGATTAAGGAAGATGACATACCAAAGAGTGCTTTCCGCACAAGGTATGGGCATTTTGAGTTCCTTGTTATGTCGTTTGGGTTAACAAACGCCCCGGCGGCATTCATGGACTTGATGAACCGAGTATTCCATAAATACTTGGATCGATTCGTGATTGTGTTCATAGATGACATCTTGATTTACTCAAAGAGTGAAGAAGAGCATGAGGAGCACTTGATACTTGTTCTTGAAACACTACGGGAGAAGCAACTCTATGCCAAATTTTCTAAATGTGAATTTTGGCTAAAGGAGATTGGCTTCCTCGGGCACGTGGTTTCAGGATCGGGGATTGCTGTTGATAACAAGAAGATAGAAGCCATTACTGAATGGGAGAGGCCAAAGAACGTCAAGGAAATTCGTAGTTTCCTTGGATTGGCAGGCTACTATAGAAAGTTCGTGGAGAAGTTCTCTGTTTTGGCATCGCCATTGACGAAGCTCACTCGTAAAGGAGCTAAGTTTGTATGGGATGACAAATGTGAGAAAGGGTTCATGGAACTAAAGAAGAGATTGACTGAGGCACCGGTACTTGCATTACCCAAACAAGGTGTGGGGTACGATGTCTATAGCGATGCGAGCATCCAAGGGCTCGGATGTGTACTGATGCAGAATGGGAGGGTAATCGCCTATGCTTCACGACAATTGAAGAAGCATGAGGTGAATTATCCTACTCATGATTTGGAGCTCGGGGCAGTGGTATTTGCACTGAAGATATGGAGACATTATCTCTACGGGGAGACATGTCACATATACACTGATCACAAGAGCTTGAAGTACGTGTTTACTCAGAAAGAGCTAAACATGAGACAGAGACGGTGGATGGAGCTGATAAAAGACTACCATCTAGTGATAGAGTATCACCCAGGCAAGGCAAACGTGGTGGCAGATGCTTTGAGCCGGAAGAGCTCGTCTGGGGCATTGATAACTAATTTGAGGGCATTAAGAGCCCAACTGGAGGTAACCAGCGATGGTGCCTTATTGGCACGATTTGAGGTGAGACCCACTTTACTTGATGAGATCAAGAAGGGTCAGGAAGCCGACGAAGAACTTATGAAGGTCCGGGAACGCATGCAAGCGGGGCCGGTGGAGGATTTCAGGGAAAGAGATGATGGTCTCTTGTTATTTCGTGACCGAGTGTGTGTACCGTCAGATGATGAGCTCCGAAAGTCCATCTTAGAGGAGGCTCATTCATCGGCTTATGCCATGCACCCGGGGGGCACGAAAATGTACCGTGATTTGAAGGAAAGTTACTGGTGGTCTGGAATGAAGAGGGAAATAGCCGAGTACATCAGTCGGTGCCTTACTTGTCAACAAGTTAAGGCAGAACATCAGCACCCAGCAGGCTTATTGCAACCACTCTCCATCCCTGAATGGAAGTGGGAGCACGTGACTATGGATTTCGTGGTAGGCTTACCACGGACTATCAGGAACTATGACGCGGTTTGGGTCGTTGTGGATAGGCTCACAAAGAGTGCACACTTCTTGCCTATCAACACTACCTACCCACTTGAGAGGTTAGCCAAATTGTATACGGATGAGATCGTGAGGCTGCATGGGGTCCCGGTGACCATTGTATCTGATAGAGACCCACGATTCACATCACGTTTTTGGCCGAAATTCCAGGAGTCTATGGGAACGAAGTTGAAGTTCAGCACTGCTTTCCATCCACAGACGGATGGGCAGTCTGAAAGGCTTATACAGATCCTAGAAGACATGCTGAGGGCTTGTGCATTGGAGTTCCAGGGGAGTTGGGACAACCACTTAGCACTTGTGGAGTTTGCCTATAACAACAGTTATCAGGCAAGCATCGGCATGCCTCCATACGAGGCATTGTATGGGAGGAGGTGCCGTACACCGTTATGCTGGGACGAGGTTGGCATGGCCAAACTCGAGGGTACTGAGTTGGTGGAGGTCACCAAATCAAAGGTGAAGTTAATTCGAGAGAGACTCAAGGCGGCTCAGGATAGACAAAAGAGTTATGCAGATAAGCGTCGAAGAACCTTAGAGTTTAAGGTTGATGACGAGGTATTCTTGAAAGTTTCTCCTTGGAAAGGGATCATTCGGTTCCAAACCCGAGGAAAACTTAACCCACGATATATAGGTCCATTCAGAATTATAGAGAGGATTGGGGCCGTTGCATATCGTCTACAATTGACTCCTGAGTTAGAGAAGATACATAATGTGTTTCATGTATCCATGCTTAAGAAGTACGTGCATGATCCCTCTCACGTATTGGAGAAGCCACCTGTAGAGGTACGTGAGGATTTGAACTACGCTGTTCAACCTATCAAGGTCACCGATAGAAAGGTGAAGAAGCTGAGGAGCAAAGAAGTCCCAATGGTTAAAGTCCTGTGGAAGAGCGATCGGGTCGAGGAAGAGACATGGGAAACGGAGGCTTTGATGAGGAAGCAGTATGCTTTCCTATTCGAGTAGAGCTGTGAATTTCGGGGACGAAATTCCTGTTAAGGGGGGGTGAACTTGTGACACCGCACCCGAACGTCCTTGAAAATTCGATTTAAAAATTCAAAAGTGATGTATTGAATTTCCGATTTCAAAGCAATGGAAGAAACGATTAATATTTTACGAAGTACATGATTGAATATTGTATTGTTCAAACCCGCATTCTTTTGTAATTTTCATCGTGTAAATTATTGGGATGAGCCTACACATATTGGAGATCAATAATGTGATTTAGGAAGTTGACTTGCTCTAAATAAGTTAGAATGAGTACAAAAAAAGACATCTTTTGACAAAGATAAAACAATAGGACCCATCTTCCCATTTTTGGAAGTATTGGTAGATATTTTGGACCCCAAATTAAATGGGATCATTTGGGAACCATCCCACATGACCTTGGTACCTGCAAAGACAAAGAAAAATGGATGAGACAACTATGTGGGGCGGACTTTTGACTCATGAGCTACAACATTACAAAAAGGAAATAAAAGAGGAGGTCCATACCATGTTTGATTGCAATCAAATACCCCACCCTTCTTTTTTGTGAACCACATGCTCTCTTAGCATGATTGAGGCCTTCCTAATACATTTTCACTACACCCCATTCGAACTCCCAAGATAAGAGAGAAAGAGGGAGCCACATATTCCAAGGGAGAAGAGAAGAGAGAAGCTGGCCGCAGGATTCGTTTTCCAGCAGATAGGGTCTCTTGTTTGATTCATAACTTGAGCTTCACTCGTCCAAATAAGGCGTATGATATACCAAAAGAAAGCTCTCAAGACGAGGAATCTGTGAAGGCCTGGTTTGCAGGAATCGGAGTTGTGGAAGGCTTCCAAATCGTCCGAGAAAAACGCAACCTCGCAGGAGAGGATTTAATCTTCTAAAGTGAGTTTTAACCCCAAAGCTTTACTTTTCATTCTCCAAATGATATGAACGATTGGTGAGACTATTATACACTAATCCAAGTGTATAATATGTCCTTATAAAGTTATTTTATTGATGTAAAGGTTAGATACTAACCTAGATGCAAATATTGGAAAACTAGGAATCGAGTTAGCCGGAAAACACCCGTTCTAGGGGCTGTTTTCGTATCAACGATTAAGGGTTGAACTAGCACTTTGAGGAGGCTGTTTAACACTCATATTTGAGCAAGGAATCAGTCCCAAATCCACCTTGACCAAAGATTTGACCGTTGGACCAAGAAGGGAAAGTTTAAAGCTCAATTGAGGTGAGGATTGACATCTAATTGCTTACAACTTGTAGGTTAAGCATGAGATTACCTAAATGTTTAAATCATGATTTTTCATGGATTATGATGACTATATATTGATGAAATATTGATATAGTTGCCAAAGAATGAATTTGGAATGATTTGAGAAAGTATGAACGATATGAGATTAAATGAGTATAAATGAACTATTTTGTGAAAATGGGCATTTGCTCATGTATGAATTATGTGGATACATAAATGAATATTTGTGTATTGAGATTGAATACTTAAGTTGCTGCTACATAATTATAAATATGTAGAGAATTACAAACAATGAGGATAATGGTACGATAACAATAATCTTAATAGTATTGGAATACTAGTTAGTGATTATTGGAACTTGTTGATTAAATTGATCCTAGGGATTGGATTGTATGAAAGGTACTTGAATGTAGTTCAAGTGTATATGATAACTTAGTATGGAACTAAGGTTAAGTTATGGGGAGTCTTTAAGGATGACCCATGGTAGTTTAATGATATGTCAATTCTAGGCATAGGGTTGCTTGAGAATTGGACCTTAATGCATGGTGATGTGATAGAGCCGAGCTCTAGAATGCATGTAAGGTGTAGACTTGGAGTCTATGTATTGTATAGCTAGAGCCGAGCTCTAGGACTTGCGTGGTGATGTGATAGAGCCGAGCTCTAGAACGCAAGGTAGGGAGATTGACCCGAGGTATATGAATTGTATGGTGATGTGGTAGAGCCGAGCTCTAGAATACAATGTCATGTACTAGGGTTGGACTCTAGGAGTTGTCGTGGCTTATAGTCACGGGGTTGGGAATGGTGATTTCCAAATAAACATGGGCCCACGGGCCGACTACTTGACTTTTATATTAAGTAAGTATATTTTTAAACGGGGTAACTAGGGTTACAAATCATAATGTACTATCACCCTATTTGAGGGTCTTGTGTTTGAAATACTTGTTGTATATCTATTAGATGCCTGCCACACCAGTACTTTATAGCCGTATAGAGTACTGACCCCTTCGGGGGCGTCCCACCACCATTTTTCAGGTTGAGGCTAGAGCTTGCTTCCTGTGCTCGTTGCTCGAGAGATCATATAGGAGGGAAGACTTGGTTCGTGCTTCCTCCATACTGTTTTTAAACCTTCCTAAACGTGCTCATGGATATTTTACTATGGAGCCTGCGTGCTCATGAAATGCCTTGTGTGGCCTTTTGTTTTAAACAATGTTTCCGCTGCGTTATGAATTACTTATTATGTTTGTTTATGGATGTGTATGTGTGAATGATACTCGAGACGCCTTGTATAATATGAATGTGTTGGACTGCGGTTGACTATTCGTATTGTACGGCGGGTTGTTGACGTGTCCGGATAGGTCCGGGGCGTGACAATTAAGTTGGTATCAGAGCCTTAGTCCATAAACTTCATAATGAAGTCTCAAAATTCTCTTTTTGAAAAGATTTTGAAAACCATGAGCATAGAAGTTTTGTACTTGGAGAGCTTTTGGTACTTGGGTTGCAAGGTCTCTAATTGTTAAGATGGTACCCTTAGCAATTGGTATGGCAGTGACTCGAGCCAAAATGTGTCTTAAGTACCTATCCGTCAATTGACATTTGATACGAGTCTAACGACTCTTTCCCAATTTCTTTCAGAAATGGACCGTGGTGGCAGGATTACTAGGAGAAACCCGACCGGCCGTGTACCAGAGGAGACTGGACAGGGCAGTCGAAGGACCTCTAGGGCATCTAGAGGAGCTGGCCGTGGAGGCCGATCACAGACCGTGAGTGACGGTCATGTCGACACAGAAAGTGAAACCTACTGGTCCTATGAGGACTCGACTTACCAACCGGGGACCGAGCCGGTTGAGACCCCTTACGAAGGGGATGACGATGATGTGAGCGATGAAGAGGGGGAGAATGACTCCCTAGCAAGAATAGAGGCGCTGCTCCAACAATATCACCGTGAGCGTGAAGAGAGGAGGGAACGCCGAAGGCGCCGGGCTGGGCAACCTTCGGGCATGGCTTCACGAGGAGGAAGTCATGGTGCATCTAGAGTCCATGTGGAACCACGTGGAGGCCAAAATGATGGAGGTCCAACCATAAGGATCTCCAAGTACATCAAAGAAGCAAGAGATTTGGGGTGCAAACCCTTTGATGGAGCAGGGGACATTTCAGTGGCAGCACAATGGATCAAGAGGCTAAATGAAGCGGCCCTTGACATGCAAATCGCGCCGAATCTCAAACTGAGAATTGCGGTAAGATTGCTCGAGGGGATGGCATCCAAGTGGTGGGATGGAACCAAGAACAAGTACGGTGAGACCGTCGTTTGGGAGGACTTCCAACGGGAGTTCTTTGCCCAATACTATTCTGATTTCGAGGTGAATAAGAAGGTGAGGGAATACACCCTCCTAACCTAAGGGGGTAATATGTCAGTGAAGGAGCTTGAGTACAAGTTTCGGGATCTCGCCGACTACATACCGGAGTATGCTTGTGACGAGAACCGCATGGTGAACCACTTTTGGGACGCTCTTGACTTGGAGATACGTGATAGGGCAACGCAATTGCCTAATATGACTTTCGCCCAAGTGGTTGAACAAGCATTGAAAGGGGAGAAACAGTGGGAGGAACGGAAGAAGAGAGACGCCGAAGAGGCGAAGTAGAGAAAATGGGAGAGTCATGGCTCCCAAGGTTCCAACAAAAGGGGGAACCACGGAGGAGGATCTTTCCGGGCACCACCGCCACCATCAAGGGGGAACCAAGGCCCAAGTGGGCAAGGCTCGAGGTCACAGACCTCAGTGGTAACTCGTTGCAACAATTGCAAGAGGAACCATTCCGGTAAATGTCGCGACCCCCCTAGATGTTTCCAATGTGGGGATGCCGGGCATTTGAAGGCACATTGCCCACAACTGGGCGGGGCAAGGACATCGGGACCAAGTAGTGGCCCGACGGGTACACGGAATCAGACCGGGGCTTCTCAAGCAAGCAGGGGGCAAGGGGGAGCAAGTGCGAGCAACGCGCCATCCGTGAACCAAGGGAGGACCCAGGCTAGGGTCTATGCGATGACGGAGGCGGATGCTCAAGCTAACCCGGACTCCGTCGCAGGTATTGCCTCTCATATACTAGTGTTTTATCCTTAATTAGTCCATAAATTGAGGATACTAATCGCTAGGATCATTGCACGAGGTTTTGGGGTCGAACCGGGGGATTTCGGGCAACTTCAGGCGGCTGGGACCCAGGCACGATCGTGCTTAAGGCAGACACGATCGTGCCTCCAAGTCAGTAGCTGCCCAGGAATATTCCCAGCCCAGGCACGATCGTGCCTAAGGCAGACACGATCGTGCCTACAAGGCAGTAGCTGCCCAGGGTTTTTCTCCAAACCAGGCACGATCGTGCCTAAGTCAGACACGATCGTGCCTCCAAGTCAGTGGTTCCCAGGATTTTTCCAACCCAGGCACGATCGTGCCTAAGGCAGACACGATCGTGCCTCCAAGGCAGTAGCCCCAGGGCGTTTTCCTGAGCCAGGCACGATCGTGCCTACCCCGGGCACGCCGTGCCTGGCACCCAGATTGCCGAAACCCGATTTTTTCGCATCGTTTTGCGACGTTAAGGCCTCTTCTTGATCCCTAACGTGCGTGTGAACATTGCAACCTTCTATAAATGAGTAGGGAGGGTAGGAAAGATGTCTTACATGGTTCATGAATGTAGGGACACTAAAGATTAACGGGAAGGATGCACGAATCCTTATCGATACCGGAGCGCAAGTTCATTCGTGAGTGAGGCGTTTGCCGAGAGCTTAGAGATGCAATCAATACCAATGACACAAACCTTAGTGGTATCAACCCCACTAGGGGAAGACGTTGAAAGAAACAATTACTATCCATCTTGTATGGTGGAAATCGGTGGCCAAACCTTGACGTGTGATTTCGTACCGCTGAGTATGATGGAGTTCGATGCAATCCTAGGGATGGATTGGCTAGAAAAGCATCATGCTAGGGTAGATTGCTACACAAAGGTGTTGGAACTCGAAGGCACACAGGGGGACACCCTACGCTTCGAGGGGGACCGCGGCAAATCAAATAGTTGTATCATATCCGCCGTGAGAGCGAGAAATATGATGAGGAAGGGATGCCACGCATATCTAGCATACGTGGTTGACAAAACCAAAGAGGAAACGAACATCGATGATGTGAGGGTGGTTTGTAAGTATCCGGATGTCTTCCCTAAAGACCTACCGGGGCTTCCACCTGACAGAGAGATTGAATTTGTGATCGAGGTCGAGCCTGGTACCAAACCAATCTCCATACCGCCATACCGGATGGCACCCGCTGAACTTAACGAGTTGAAAACCCAATTGCAAGAGCTTTTGGATAACGGTTTCATTAGACCAAGCCACTCCCCGTGGGGAGCACCGGTTCTTTTTGTGAAAAAGAAAGATGGGACACTTCGAATGTGCATTGACTATCGTCAACTGAACAAGGTCACAATCAAGAATAGGTATCCGTTGCCTAGGATTGATGACTTGTTTGATCAACTACGAGGAGCAACCATGTTTTCGAAGATTGACTTAAGGTCGGGGTACCATCAATTGAAGATTAAGGAAGATGACATACCAAAGAGTGCTTTCCGCACAAGGTATGGGCATTTTGAGTTCCTTGTTATGTCGTTTGGGTTAACAAACGCCCCGGCGGCATTCATGGACTTGATGAACCGAGTATTCCATAAATACTTGGATCGATTCGTGATTGTGTTCATAGATGACATCTTGATTTACTCAAAGAGTGAAGAAGAGCATGAGGAGCACTTGATACTTGTTCTTGAAACACTACGGGAGAAGCAACTCTATGCCAAATTTTCTAAATGTGAATTTTGGCTAAAGGAGATTGGCTTCCTCGGGCACGTGGTTTCAGGATCGGGGATTGCTGTTGATAACAAGAAGATAGAAGCCATTACTGAATGGGAGAGGCCAAAGAACGTCAAGGAAATTCGTAGTTTCCTTGGATTGGCAGGCTACTATAGAAAGTTCGTGGAGAAGTTCTCTGTTTTGGCATCGCCATTGACGAAGCTCACTCGTAAAGGAGCTAAGTTTGTATGGGATGACAAATGTGAGAAAGGGTTCATGGAACTAAAGAAGAGATTGACTGAGGCACCGGTACTTGCATTACCCAAACAAGGTGTGGGGTACGATGTCTATAGCGATGCGAGCATCCAAGGGCTCGGATGTGTACTGATGCAGAATGGGAGGGTAATCGCCTATGCTTCACGACAATTGAAGAAGCATGAGGTGAATTATCCTACTCATGATTTGGAGCTCGGGGCAGTGGTATTTGCACTGAAGATATGGAGACATTATCTCTACGGGGAGACATGTCACATATACACTGATCACAAGAGCTTGAAGTACGTGTTTACTCAGAAAGAGCTAAACATGAGACAGAGACGGTGGATGGAGCTGATAAAAGACTACCATCTAGTGATAGAGTATCACCCAGGCAAGGCAAACGTGGTGGCAGATGCTTTGAGCCGGAAGAGCTCGTCTGGGGCATTGATAACTAATTTGAGGGCATTAAGAGCCCAACTGGAGGTAACCAGCGATGGTGCCTTATTGGCACGATTTGAGGTGAGACCCACTTTACTTGATGAGATCAAGAAGGGTCAGGAAGCCGACGAAGAACTTATGAAGGTCCGGGAACGCATGCAAGCGGGGCCGGTGGAGGATTTCAGGGAAAGAGATGATGGTCTCTTGTTATTTCGTGACCGAGTGTGTGTACCGTCAGATGATGAGCTCCGAAAGTCCATCTTAGAGGAGGCTCATTCATCGGCTTATGCCATGCACCCGGGGGGCACGAAAATGTACCGTGATTTGAAGGAAAGTTACTGGTGGTCTGGAATGAAGAGGGAAATAGCCGAGTACATCAGTCGGTGCCTTACTTGTCAACAAGTTAAGGCAGAACATCAGCACCCAGCAGGCTTATTGCAACCACTCTCCATCCCTGAATGGAAGTGGGAGCACGTGACTATGGATTTCGTGGTAGGCTTACCACGGACTATCAGGAACTATGACGCGGTTTGGGTCGTTGTGGATAGGCTCACAAAGAGTGCACACTTCTTGCCTATCAACACTACCTACCCACTTGAGAGGTTAGCCAAATTGTATACGGATGAGATCGTGAGGCTGCATGGGGTCCCGGTGACCATTGTATCTGATAGAGACCCACGATTCACATCACGTTTTTGGCCGAAATTCCAGGAGTCTATGGGAACGAAGTTGAAGTTCAGCACTGCTTTCCATCCACAGACGGATGGGCAGTCTGAAAGGCTTATACAGATCCTAGAAGACATGCTGAGGGCTTGTGCATTGGAGTTCCAGGGGAGTTGGGACAACCACTTAGCACTTGTGGAGTTTGCCTATAACAACAGTTATCAGGCAAGCATCGGCATGCCTCCATACGAGGCATTGTATGGGAGGAGGTGCCGTACACCGTTATGCTGGGACGAGGTTGGCATGGCCAAACTCGAGGGTACTGAGTTGGTGGAGGTCACCAAATCAAAGGTGAAGTTAATTCGAGAGAGACTCAAGGCGGCTCAGGATAGACAAAAGAGTTATGCAGATAAGCGTCGAAGAACCTTAGAGTTTAAGGTTGATGACGAGGTATTCTTGAAAGTTTCTCCTTGGAAAGGGATCATTCGGTTCCAAACCCGAGGAAAACTTAACCCACGATATATAGGTCCATTCAGAATTATAGAGAGGATTGGGGCCGTTGCATATCGTCTACAATTGACTCCTGAGTTAGAGAAGATACATAATGTGTTTCATGTATCCATGCTTAAGAAGTACGTGCATGATCCCTCTCACGTATTGGAGAAGCCACCTGTAGAGGTACGTGAGGATTTGAACTACGCTGTTCAACCTATCAAGGTCACCGATAGAAAGGTGAAGAAGCTGAGGAGCAAAGAAGTCCCAATGGTTAAAGTCCTGTGGAAGAGCGATCGGGTCGAGGAAGAGACATGGGAAACGGAGGCTTTGATGAGGAAGCAGTATGCTTTCCTATTCGAGTAGAGCTGTGAATTTCGGGGACGAAATTCCTGTTAAGGGGGGGTGAACTTGTGACACCGCACCCGAACGTCCTTGAAAATTCGATTTAAAAATTCAAAAGTGATGTATTGAATTTCCGATTTCAAAGCAATGGAAGAAACGATTAATATTTTACGAAGTACATGATTGAATATTGTATTGTTCAAACCCGCATTCTTTTGTAATTTTCATCGTGTAAATTATTGGGATGAGCCTACACATATTGGAGATCAATAATGTGATTTAGGAAGTTGACTTGCTCTAAATAAGTTAGAATGAGTACAAAAAAAGACATCTTTTGACAAAGATAAAACAATAGGACCCATCTTCCCATTTTTGGAAGTATTGGTAGATATTTTGGACCCCAAATTAAATGGGATCATTTGGGAACCATCCCACATGACCTTGGTACCTGCAAAGACAAAGAAAAATGGATGAGACAACTATGTGGGGCGGACTTTTGACTCATGAGCTACAACATTACAAAAAGGAAATAAAAGAGGAGGTCCATACCATGTTTGATTGCAATCAAATACCCCACCCTTCTTTTTTGTGAACCACATGCTCTCTTAGCATGATTGAGGCCTTCCTAATACATTTTCACTACACCCCATTCGAACTCCCAAGATAAGAGAGAAAGAGGGAGCCACATATTCCAAGGGAGAAGAGAAGAGAGAAGCTGGCCGCAGGATTCGTTTTCCAGCAGATAGGGTCTCTTGTTTGATTCATAACTTGAGCTTCACTCGTCCAAATAAGGCGTATGATATACCAAAAGAAAGCTCTCAAGACGAGGAATCTGTGAAGGCCTGGTTTGCAGGAATCGGAGTTGTGGAAGGCTTCCAAATCGTCCGAGAAAAACGCAACCTCGCAGGAGAGGATTTAATCTTCTAAAGTGAGTTTTAACCCCAAAGCTTTACTTTTCATTCTCCAAATGATATGAACGATTGGTGAGACTATTATACACTAATCCAAGTGTATAATATGTCCTTATAAAGTTATTTTATTGATGTAAAGGTTAGATACTAACCTAGATGCAAATATTGGAAAACTAGGAATCGAGTTAGCCGGAAAACACCCGTTCTAGGGGCTGTTTTCGTATCAACGATTAAGGGTTGAACTAGCACTTTGAGGAGGCTGTTTAACACTCATATTTGAGCAAGGAATCAGTCCCAAATCCACCTTGACCAAAGATTTGACCGTTGGACCAAGAAGGGAAAGTTTAAAGCTCAATTGAGGTGAGGATTGACATCTAATTGCTTACAACTTGTAGGTTAAGCATGAGATTACCTAAATGTTTAAATCATGATTTTTCATGGATTATGATGACTATATATTGATGAAATATTGATATAGTTGCCAAAGAATGAATTTGGAATGATTTGAGAAAGTATGAACGATATGAGATTAAATGAGTATAAATGAACTATTTTGTGAAAATGGGCATTTGCTCATGTATGAATTATGTGGATACATAAATGAATATTTGTGTATTGAGATTGAATACTTAAGTTGCTGCTACATAATTATAAATATGTAGAGAATTACAAACAATGAGGATAATGGTACGATAACAATAATCTTAATAGTATTGGAATACTAGTTAGTGATTATTGGAACTTGTTGATTAAATTGATCCTAGGGATTGGATTGTATGAAAGGTACTTGAATGTAGTTCAAGTGTATATGATAACTTAGTATGGAACTAAGGTTAAGTTATGGGGAGTCTTTAAGGATGACCCATGGTAGTTTAATGATATGTCAATTCTAGGCATAGGGTTGCTTGAGAATTGGACCTTAATGCATGGTGATGTGATAGAGCTGAGCTCTAGAATGCATGTAAGGTGTAGACTTGGAGTCTATGTATTGTATAGCTAGAGCCGAGCTCTAGGACTTGCGTGGTGATGTGATAGAGCCGAGCTCTAGAACGCAAGGTAGGGAGATTGACCCGAGGTATATGAATTGTATGGTGATGTGGTAGAGCCGAGCTCTAGAATACAATGTCATGTACTAGGGTTGAACTCTAGGAGTTGTCGTGGCTTATAGTCACGGGGTTGGGAATGGTGATTTCCAAATAAACATGGGCCCACGGGCCGACTACTTGACTTTTATATTAAGTAAGTATATTTTTAAACGGGGTAACTAGGGTTACAAATCATAATGTACTATCACCCTATTTGAGGGTCTTGTGTTTGAAATACTTGTTGTATATCTATTAGATGCCTGCCACACCAGTACTTTATAGCCGTATAGAGTACTGACCCCTTCGGGGGCGTCCCACCACCATTTTTCAGGTTGAGGCTAGAGCTTGCTTCCTGTGCTCGTTGCTCGAGAGATCATATAGGAGGGAAGACTTGGTTCGTGCTTCCTCCATACTGTTTTTAAACCTTCCTAAACGTGCTCATGGATATTTTACTATGGAGCCTGCGTGCTCATGAAATGCCTTGTGTGGCCTTTTGTTTTAAACAATGTTTCCGCTGCGTTATGAATTACTTATTATGTTTGTTTATGGATGTGTATGTGTGAATGATACTCGAGACGCCTTGTATAATATGAATGTGTTGGACTGCGGTTGACTATTCGTATTGTACGGCGGGTTGTTGACGTGTCCGGATAGGTCCGGGGCGTGACAATATGAGCCTAAGGGTATGGGACGCACATGCCATATCATGAAGATTGATTTGTGAAGTGATCCTTCAGCGGCTAAATAAGTGAAGACAAAGAGATCAACAATATCTGCTCCAGCACAAGAATATGAATTTCAACACGTTCAAGATAATTTCATCTCAACCAACGGATGAAATTAATCAACCGGAGAAGCCCATAAATAGAGGCAGAAGCATGAGAATTCAAATGAAGTTTTTGAGCCTTCTAAGTAGAGAAAATCTTATTGAGCATTTAAGTGATATCTAGCAAAAGAGAAAGTGCTTGTTTAGCTTTGCTCTCTGCTTAGACTCATGCTTCACTAAACTTCCAAGTTAGAACTTCTCATTGCTATATTCTGGAAGTATAGCTCATAGTTGGAGGCTAGAATTTTTTTTATATCATAAACTGTTGTAAACACTTAAGGACAGTGTCTTCTAGTCCTAAGTGTGGTAGAATAGAATAGAGTACCTTTTGATCCCCACTGGATCAATTGAGAAAGTCTTAGGGATTGAGTAGCCTTGAGTGGTGTGTACTCCTTGTGAAACACCTTCGATCTAGGCCTGTTGTGTGAAAAAGGCTAGATTAGTCACTAAGTGTATTGGGTTTAATACTTTAGTGGAAATCCATCTGAAAGAGGGTGGGACTGGACGTAGGAGGATTACACCACCTCTGAACCAGGATATATTGTGTGTTGTTTCAGTCAACAAAGCATACACCAAACACTTATTCAATCAAGCAGTAGCTTGAGCAGTAACCTCGGCAGCAATCTACTACTAACTCTACTGGTCACTTCACTGCCAAGTCTACTGCTCGTTTACTCATCTTCTTAAAGACATCTCAATTTCTCTAAACCCTTATAAAATCTTCCAACACTTCCCTGATCAATCAGAATCTAGAAAATCAGTTCTATACCCCGCAGTTGCCTCAGCAGCACTCTGGTGACTACTCTACTGCCCAGACCACTGCTAACACAACTGCCAAGACAACTGCTCTTCTAGATAAGTGTAATTCTCATCCAAACCCCTTCATCCAATTTTATAAGGTTGTAATACACTGTCCACTTAAAGGATAAAACTTCCGCTGTGCATCTTTAATCAATCAAAAGGTTACAGATCATCATATCTAGTAGGGAAAGTATTTAAGTTGAAAAAGCTTTAAAAGTCTATTCACCCCCCCTTTAGACTTTTACCTCTATCAGGGACCATCAAGTGGTATCAGAGCCGTGTGTTCCTAGAGTCATTTTCTGACTATGTTGAACTAAAGATCCAAACCCACTTCACTCCCAAAAACTTTCTAAAAATGGACAGTCAGCTTTCCAAGAATCTCTTATTCAATGATGTAGAGGTAACATCTTATTCTTTCTATAGCTCAAGTGATTCTGGACCATCAAATATCACACTGGAATCTTTGCTTCAAGATTTCCAAAAGGTCCAAAATCACCATGTTCTCTTAAGATCTGAAAATGAAAGACTAAAACAAGACACTAAGACCATTCATGCTAAACTCTTAGATGACTTAACTAGAATCAAAGTTTTAAAAGAAGAGAACAATGAGCAAAAAAATCAAATGAATAATCTTAGCAAGGGTAGTAGAAATGTTGACCCTACTGCTGAGATTATTCCTAAGAGGAAGAAAAGAGGTCTTGGTTACATTTCCCCCACCAGACACACAAAAGACTCCCCATCCAAGTGCTGGGGAACCTCGCCATTGTACAAGTGCTGCAACATATCTTGAAGACATATCACTCGTCGATCATATTTCTGATGGAGACCCTTTGCAACGATTACCGCATAAACCAAGTTTGTAAGCTCTTAGGGTTTGAACAATGTTTTATTTTAGCCTGTCACGGTCGAAGCGGAGGCTTCCCTCTATTATGGAGGAAAGAGACGACGGTGAATATACAAAGTTATTCTCAAAATTATATTGATACTATGGTTTCCCCGGAAGTACAACCTATTATGTGGCGTGTCACATGAAGTTATGGTTTTCCGGAGCGACAGAGAAGATGAGACTCATGGGCTATGTTACCAAATCTAGCGACAGCAAATAGCACCCCTTTGGTGGTGTTGGTGGTCTTGGCAGGCGCATAAGAAGAGGGGGAGCTGTCCGCAACCGCCGTGGATGCTCAATAAGTTATTCAGGGCATCGATCGGACAGATGGCTTACATTGTAATGATATGATTTTTCAGGATATTAGAGACATGATGACAAATTTCATCAGTATAAATGTCCAGTTTGTGCACTGTACAGCGAATCAGGCTGCCCATATTCTTGTTAGGGAAGCCTATCCTAGGTCTATCAGTATTTGGATGGATCATCCTCCCAATTGTATTAATCATGTTCTTCAATGTGTTGAGCAATGAAATTGTTATTTGGTTCTAAAAAAAAGTTAAGTTCGTTGTATGAGGGGATATAACTTTATCATTTACGGTACCACGTAATTTGCGATAAGAAAAACAAAATTGAAACGTAATTCATAGATTTTAATAGTAATTTTATCATTCAGGACATGAAAGATATAAAAGTTATTAATCTCGAACTTGGAACATGAAATGTGTCGATATAGTGTCCGAATGATTGAAAATTATCAATCAAGAACTTAAGTTGTATTGATTTTTAATATATTAAAAAATATAAATTAAAATACTATTTAATATTTGTAAACTAATACTATCCTCCGTGTCGTATTAGTTGCAACATTGCAATTTATAAACTATTCATGTCCTCTACTTTGACTACATTTTATTTATTAATTAATGTGAATTATTAATTTTGAAAAATATGGTTGAATTCGTCTCATTATTAAGTTTCATAATCTGATTTTTAATTATTATTTACTAATACATAATTAAATATAATGACGGTCAAAGTTGTGCGTTGACAAACGTAAAAAAATGAATGTTGCAACTAAAAAGAACGGAGGAAGTAACTTGTATGATGAAAAATTCATCAAAATTAGCAATGTAAGTAAGAAAAAATTAAATAAAACAAAACCTATGGAATTTGAGATTCTAGATTGATAGTTTTCAATCATTTCGGCCCTACAGTGACACATTTCATCTTTCATATCACGAATTGATAATTCATCAATCTTTTTGGTCCATGATTGATAAATTTTTTGAAAATTTAATATTTCAATATTTCAGAGTGAATGATTTTTCTCACAGAAGACTAGAGGGCTGATTGTTAATAAGAATATTTTCGGTTTTTCCAGAAAGTTAGAAAAGTGGAGGAAGGAAAAGTGGAAAACAAGTTTGCCTGTTTATTATTCAAATAAAAAAAATGATGCATATCTTTGATTTTCTTCTTAACTTGGAGAAGTCACTTTTTTAGATATCCAAAAACGAAATACCTGGTGGTACAGTGTGTCGAGCATGTTAATGGATTTGAAATTTGAGATTTGTTGAGATTTGAAATGGAAATAGAAATTTAGAGAACGAAAAACAAGAAAAAATAGAAAACTGGGTAGTAGAAAAATAAGTCTAATATTTTTGTATGAAATAGGAGTACAGTACAACCATTTTAAAATCCTAATGTCATATTATGTCATTACTAGATATCAATTTATAATAGCATTATTTTTTCAGCATGACGATAATACTTATACTAAAGAAAACTTTATAATCTTTAATTTTAGGATGTTTTTAATTCGACTGAAATTTTATGGTATGTTCTGGTTTGGTCTAATTCGGTCTGATTTATGCCTAATTTTTTTATGTATTTTATAATTATCCAAATCTTATTTGCTCCTATTTGATCTGGTCTGATTTAGTTCGATCTAATCTGATATCAAACTCAAAACAATTTCTATAAAAATATCCTAGGGAAACATGTTGTCTTCTAGGCTATTTCTTCAATGATTGTTGACCGTATTGTTGTCTTTGCTGTGATAGGATATTCAATGAAATGAAATTTGTAATATGAAACGGAACTAAGTGTTCAAATTGTCTTCTAAAGCTGCCCGCGAATAGTTATGGAAGGAGCCAAAAATTCCGAATTTTTCTATTGGTACGGGTCCTAAGGTTTTCATTTAAAATTTGTTGCAACTTAAGCAAAAAAAAAGAGTTTTTGAGGATCATAATGGGTGGGAAATAGGGATGACAACGGGGTGAACTGGGGGCGGTTTTACAAATAATCGTAATTGTTCTGTTGGGTAATTCTCCCCCCATAAAGGCCCATTACCCACGGATAATTTTTCTTCAAGCCATAACCGCCCCAATGAGTAACGGGTATAACCGCGTGTAATTTCGGGTAACCGTTTAATTAAATGAGTCATTGATATTTTAATATAAAATAATATTTTAAAAGGAAAAAAATGGCAACACTTAGATGTCTCTAGGCGTCAAACGCCACTTAAAAGTTTCGCATATCTACAAGATGAGAAAAAGGCAACCTAAATTAATTTGAACCTAAAACTTAATCCGAAAAAAAAACTGATAATAATCAAACAAGACTATTAAAATCTATTATGACATTCCGTTCATACACTATAACTACTATATCTATTATCCATATATACACAATGAAAAGAGAAATATCTCATCTTTTATTAGTTGTGGAATAAATCATAGATAAAAATGTAATAAAAATATAACTAAAAATAAACAGGGCGGTTACGGGGCGGGTAATGAGGCGGACATGTATACAACCGTAACCGTCCCATTACTCGTAAAAATAAAACGGGTATTCCCTGCCCCGTACCCGCGGTTACCCGGTGACCCGGTCAATGCGGTTTTCCCCAATTTGACCGGGGCGGTTCGGTGCGGGTATCCATCTGATCGGTCACAATTGTCATCCCTAGTTGGAAAACCATTGAGATGAGAATAGTCTTGTTCACCCAAGTGAGAGAAGGAGAGGAGCACACTGGGTTTTAGCTAGGGGTGGGCAAAAATACCGAACCGGCATGATACCGAACCGGACCGGTATGGTACCGGACCGATAAACGGGGTTTGGAACGGATCTCAAAATTTTTTGTCCCGAACCGGACCGAACCGGTTCCAAACAATGCCATGACCGGTTCTCATAAAATGAGAACCGGTACCGGACCGAACCGGACCGAAGTATGGTTTATTAAATTTGTACTACTATAGTTTATCTAAAATATATTAATTACCTCATCCGTCGCAAAATGATTTGCAAAGCCAACATTTTTTCGTCAAAGTTAATGTTAAGTTCTTGATAATTAATACAATTTTTAATAACTAAAATTTACATATTTAGAAACCACATTAAAATCTCTCTAAAGTTGCAAAATCCAAATTAAAATATACAAAGTACGGAGTAGTTTTTTTGAAAGGCCAAATTAGAATATAATTAAAAAGTGAAATTCTAATTAAGTGAATAAAAAGAAATTGTTTGACCAAAAAAAGATTGACTTTGCAAATCAATTTGGAACGAAGGTAGTATGTTATATGAAAATTGATAAATTGTGTGGATTTTTTGGAGGGTGGCTAAACTTTAATTTTTTCTTAAACACCTGGAAAAAGTGGCATTATTTGGTATTGGTATGGCATGGTACCATCCCGTTTGAAATTGGACCGTACCGAACGGGTTTGGGTCTAAGACCGAACCGTACCGAACCGTTTCAATAGTAACGGTACGGGTACGGGTTCGGCCAAATATTGGACCGGACCGGACCGTGCCCACCCCTAGTTTTAGCAAAAGCGGCTCTCCAGGGCGGATTGAAAGACGAACCCACACAAAATAAAAATCTCAATTATTTCTACAATGATGTGACTTTTTATTTGTAATCCAATTTATATAGAAAATATATCAATAAACATTTTTCATATGAGACAAATATTGCCGTTCAAAAAAAATATGACACAAATATTGCATGTATAACTTTTTATAAAGAATATGAAATTTCATCTAATGAAGGTATTTAGGTCCAAAATTTTTCTTAAGTAGATCTTCTGATAAATCTCTCGGTAAGTTTTATTAAAAATAGGTCTAAAGAAATAGAAAAATCAAACTCCAAACTTATTTATTTTTACATCAGAATGTTGGCTTTTTAAATCATAATTATTGAAAAAAATTGATGTATAATATCAAAAGAAATACTTTAACTAAAGACTTTGATGGACAAATATATAAATGGTGTAGGATTGCACAAAAATATATAACTGATAAAATGAATACATTATAAGAGATAATTGGTTGTATGTAGGTTTTTAGTTTTTAGCATGTATGTTTAACTTAGAAGCTGTTCTGTTCATCTTAATCTTATTACTTATTGCTTATTCTAATTTTATTCAGATCAGGTCAGATCATATCAAATCATATTCAGATCAGATCAGATTAAATCAGAAACATTCAGATCTGATCAGGAACATTCAGATCAGATCAGATCAGAAAAGTTCAGACATGATTTATCCCTTTTATTATAATAATAATTATAATAATATTAATCATAATTGTAATTATTATTATTATTATTATTATTATTATTATTATAATTATTATTATTATTATTATTATTATTATTATTAATTTATTATTATTATTATTATTATTATTATTATTATTCTTGTTGTTATTGTAATTATTATTATAATTACTATTATTATTGATATTATTATAATTATTATTATAATTATTATTATTATTATTATTATCATCATCATCATCATCATCATCATCATCATCATCATCATCATCATCATATTACTATGATTACTATGATTATGATTATGATTATGATTATGATATTTATTATTATCATGATTATCATTATTCTTATTACTATTATGGTTGTTGTTGTTATTGTTATTAGTTTTTTTTTGTTATTATTATATTACATGGAGTAATTACAATTAAAATTATAGAAATAAATATTATAATTATAATTAAAATTATAGTTATAGAAATGATTATAACTAAAAATATAATTACAATTATAATTATAGCTTTTTTTGTTTACTTCAGGAGGCGTCTGGGGGAGAGGGTTTGGGGGGGGGGGGGGGCTGAAGTAAACTAGGTTGAAATTCACCCCATTGAGTTTCGAACCCGAGACCTCCCATAAGGGAGAGTGAGTCGGCGACCAGCTGAGCTGGATCGCTTCCTCTAATTATAGCTATATTTATAACTAGTGTAATACGTATAATAATTATACCTATTATAATTATGATTATAATTATAATTATAATTTTTTATAATTATGATTATAATTATAATTATATTTAAATTATATATGGGGTTTTTTACAAGAATACTACTAAAATAAAACTTATTTACATAAATATCACTATTCATTACTACAACGTAGTGCTGTGGTAACTAAAGTTCAAAACTTGAACATGAATTACTATGATTTCATTACTATTCTAGTAATGAATCATATTTTTGTAAACCATCTTTATCTTAGTGATATTTATGTAATTATTTCTTATATATGTGTAATTACATTTCTAATTATAATAATTAAAATTAAAATTAAAATTATAATTATAATTTTAGAAATATTCAAATCAGATCAGATCAAAAGGATTCAGATCAGATCAGAAACACTCAGATCAGATCAGGAACATTCAGATCAGATCAGAAAGATTCAGATCAGAACTTCAAAAATTCAGATCAGAAACATTCAGATCAGGTGAAGAGAACAGCTTCTTAATGTTAGATATTTAATGGAAGGGTAAGGTACTACGGTTAACCTAAGCACATTCCATCCCTGAGGGTCCCCAACACCGACCGAACGGCACGATGAGAGGATGTAAATTGGACGATAATCACAATCTGACAGATAGAGAGTGGAGTTCTGTCCCTGGTACTTGCAGAAGCCCTATGAATTTTTCAGCATAGTAACCCATCATCGCAGTTGCCGGGATTCGAACCCGAGACCTAACCCTTGTGTCACTCCCTCGCTACCTGAGACCTAAGCACATTCCATTGATCTATTCTATAAATATTCATCACAAACTCAATATTTATCGCATACCGAAAAGGAGCATTACTCCGCATATCACACATATTCTCCCTCCCATCTCTGGCAGGCAAAGTGATAACTTGTTTACCAATTACCAGGCCCACCCACTTGATCCTCTCAACCCATATCTTCTGCGTTTCTCTCACCTTCAACCCCAAAATTAACTCCCAAGTCGGCATCTTCCCAAGCTAAATCTCGAATCTTGACCCAGAAATTTGGTGAAAAATGACAGGTGAGAAGCTGAAGGTGATCATGAAGGACTCAACAATGGTCAAACCAGCAAAACCCACACCTGCAAAGAGGCTGTGGAACTCCAACTTGGATTTGATAGTGGGCAGAATCCATCTGTTGACTGTGTATTTCTACAAGCCAAACGGGTCCCCAAATTTCTTTGATTCAAAGGTGATGAAGGAGGCTCTCAGCAATGTTCTGGTCTCATTTTACCCCATGGCTGGGAGGTTGGCTAGGGATGAGGAAGGGAGGCTGGAGATTGACTGTAATGGTGAAGGGGCTCTGTTTGTTGAGGCTGAAAGTGATGCCTCCATTGATGACTTTGGTGACTTTGTCCCAAGTTTGGAGCTTAGAAAGTTCATTCCTTCTGTTGATACTTCTGGGGATATCTCTTCTTTCCCACTAGTCATTTTCCAGGTACCCCCTGTTTCATTTTGTTGAATTTATTGGAAAGATTGATTTAACTAAAGCAGAGTATTTGTTGAATTGTGAGAAATATGAAATATACTTAAATAAAATAAAAACATACCCCTTTGAACATTGTTTGCAGCAGGTTTTCCTTTTGATCTGCATCACTACCGTTAATTTGTTTCTAGAAAGAGTACTTTTTCTACTGAGTATCAGTTTTCCGACTTTTAAGCTTTTTTTCACTCCTTATTCACTATCATTAGTACGAATTATTTCATCCAAACTACTCCGTATGAAACTGCTATTCTCTCGAAATTTATTCTGATTGAACTAGTTAAATTGACTGATTCTGCTGATTGATCTTTTATGAATTTATGAAACAATAACTAAAATGATCTTTTATACTATCTCTGTCCCATTTTATGTGTACTTATTCGGAATGATGTAGTCCACATATTTCTGCACGATTATTAATGAAGTGGTTGAAAAAGTAAAAGTTATGGTTGAGGTTTGAATATAATAAAGTGAAATGATGTAGGCCACATATTTCTTTCCAAAAAAGTAAAAAAGACACTTATTTTGGTACAACGTAAAAAAGAAAGTAGGACAGGTAAAATGGGACGGAGGGAGTAGTATTTTCAATCAATATAGCTAGAAAAGTAACTTTAATTTTTATTATTATTCTACGGTCTACAATTTAGCAGGCGAAATCAAGTCAATTAATTTTACTATTTGACTTTTATCTTTCTCTTTCATATTATTTCACTCTGTCATCTCCTCTCATAATTTTTCTGCTATATCTATTATCTTGAATGCATTTCCTTTAAACAATGTACTCCGTAGCAAATAAGAGAGTATATTTTATCAAAAAAATAAAGAAATTCTTTATGAAAAAATAAGCAAAATTGGGCGTTAAAACCGGTGTTTAGTTAAAAAAGTTTATTGACGAGTAAAAATCAGAAGTCGCCCGCGGGCCCTAAAACTCACTTTTTTCATTATTAACACATGTCCATGACTTTTATTTCCAACCATGTTCATCACGTGTTACCAAGAAAATAAAATGATGTACAGTAGAAAAAGGCTGGTTAGTGAAAAAGTAAAAGAAAAATGGACAAGAATAATCCTAATTATCAATTATTCCGAATAATCCAAAGTATCAATTATTTTAAAATAATCCCTACTATTGAATAAAATTCTCAAAATGCTCCAGTGACTTATATTAACCAGTAAATATTATAAGTCATTTATAGGCTATTACAAGTCATTGGAGCATTTGAAAATTTTATTCAATAGTTGAAATTATTAATACCTTGGGTTATTTAGAGCTGATCACGGGATTATTAAAAATATGACCAAAATAAAAATGGTTTACAAAAATATGACTAGTTACTAGAGTAGTAATGAAATCATAGTAATTCATGTTCAAGTTTTGAACTTAAGTTACCCATGGTTTCAAATTGCGGACCGCAACCGCAATTGCGGCCGCAATATTGCGGTTGCCGAGGGCACCGCAACCGCATCAGCCCGCAACACCCTTATGATTTGGAATCACGGCCAAAACCGCAACGTAACCGCGACGAAACCGCAACGTAACCGCGACGGTGCCGCAACATCCCGCAATAGGCTGCAATCGACCGCGACGTGCCGCAACAGACCGCAACGCCTCCGCCTGTCCATCATTCTTTCTGGTGTGAACTTGAAAATAATTCACGCCGCAGCGGCCGCAATACGCATCGCAGCGGCCGCATTAGCCGCAACCGCAACAACCGCAACCGCAATTTAAAACAATGAAGTTACCACAACACTATGTTCTAGTAATGAATAGTCATATTTATGTAAATAAGTTTTATTTTAGTAATATTCTTGTAAAAAAAATCCATTATTTTTCCTTTCATTTTTTCCCCAAAAATAAAGTAAATCTACAAAAAAAATGTGTATTTATCATGATTTGATAGATCTTTGAAAATTTTACTCCGTATCCATTTCAAACTAGATAGGTAGCTGTGGCTCTCTAATAAGTGTATGTACCTAACACTTCTGAGTGATTATATTTGAAGTTATTACTACAAAATGTACATACCATATTATATGCAATTGTCTAGTTAGTAGTTATGATGTGGATTGTTATAAATTAATAGCATATGCAGTTGTTGAGTAGTGGGCCACAATTGTAGAGGGGTAAAGGAAAGTTGATACTAGACATTTGTATTAAAATCTGTCTAGCCTAATTCCGCTTAGATCAGCCCTAATCATAATTACACTCATAATGACCTCCACTTGATGGTATGAAAGAAAGCAGGTTTGTGTGGAAAATAAGTGGCATATATTGAGAGGAACATGAGAATCACAAATAAGACAACCAAGCTATCATTTTAATGATTTGAAATATAATCCCACTTGTGGTATACAGTAATCATATTATTGCTGACATAATATATGTATCTATTCATTACAAATGTATTTTGTTGTCTCTATCACTATTTGGATGTAGGATATGAGTCTGAGAATTAATGGGTTTTCTTTGGGTTTTTCTAATTTGATCATTGTTGATTTTCTTTGGAATGTCTTCATGTGATTTAAGAAGAAATTCCTCAGCAAGCCTCAACCATATTTTTATTCAGGATTTCCATTTCTTGACTTCAGCATTTCACTGCAGCACAATATATCGGAATAAGCTTTAGGAATAGAGGAATATGGAATGTAAAATATATGTAGTACAAGAGTTTTCTGGTCAACTTTCCATTTGCATTCTCCTTGTTTTTTCTAAAACTCTGGTTTGTCATCTGTATCTTAACTTAATGATGCTTTTTCGGTACATAGGTAACACGATTCAAGTGTGGTGGAGTGTGTCTTGGAACGGGGGCGTTTCACACACTGTCTGATGGAGTATCCTCCCTCCATTTCATCAACACCTGGTCAGATGTGGCTCGTGGCCTCGCTGTTGCAGTCCCACCATTCATTGACCGCACCCTCCTTCGTGCTAGGGACCCTCCAACCCCAGCGTTTGCACACAGTGAGTATGACCACCCTCCCAAGCTCTTGTCATTACCCGAAGCCAAATGCGGCCCTAACGCCAACACCGCCATGCTCAAAATCACCCAAGACCAACTTGTTCATCTCAAGAGCAAGTCCAAACATGAGGGTAGCACATATGAGATCCTAGCAGCCCACATATGGCGGTGTGTTTGCAAGGCCCGCGGACTGCCCGACGACCAACCAACAAAGCTCTATGTTGCCACCGATGGGCGGTCCCGCCTTTGCCCTCCTCTTCCACCGGGCTATTTAGGTAATGTGGTTTTCACGGCTACACCAATGGCCGAATCGGGAAGTCTCCAAACTGAACCACTCACAAACTCAGCGAAGAGAATCCACTCGGCGTTGGCTAGGATGGACGATGGGTACCTGAGGTCAGCCCTCGACTTCTTGGAATGCCAAAAGGATTTGTCCAAACTCGTGCGTGGCTCAACCTACTTTGCAAGTCCCAACCTAAACATCAACAGCTGGACTAGGTTGCCCGTTCACGAGTCGGACTTCGGTTGGGGAAGACCGGTCCACATGGGGCCAGCCTGCATTTTGTATGAGGGGACGGTGTACATATTGCCCAGCCCGAACAAGGACAGGACGTTGACCTTAGCGGTGTGTTTGGATGCTGAACATTTGCCACTCTTCAAGAAACTCTTATATGATATATAATCCAAACTTCCCAACAGTGTGATGATAGAACCGTTTTTGGATTTAACTATAGTGTTTCCTTCCCACGTCCCTTTTTGTCTCTGCCTTCAAAAAATAAGTGCTACCTCTATGATATGATAGGAAGGAATATGTATCTCTTCAATTCTTCATCCATCCATCCATGTTTTTTTGCAATAATAGAACTACTTCTGTTATTCCACTTCATCTACGTCTATTACTAGGTACTTCTTATATGATACGAAGGAATATGTATCTCTTCAATCTCATTTAAAACAAAAGCTGGTACTAAAATAGTGTATTGGAGCCCAATGCCTGATTGGGTCTAGGGTGATACGGTTATGGTTTTTCTTGGAACCGACATTTTATCAAAGAATCGGAATCAGACTGGTTCTTGATCTGGGACGAGAAATGACAAAAAACAGACAATGAAGAAATCAGTTTGGGAGCAGAGTATAAAATAAAACTGGTTGTCTTTTCATAAACTTATGCAACCTTGAATCACAAGATTTAACGGGGAACTGTTCACAATACAAGGAAAAAGTGAAAAACACAATTGCATGGGTCAGGAGTCAGGACTCCGGATTGCGGGGAGCACTGGAGCCTCGAATCCAACATTTGACGAGCAAACTACAATGGGGGATGTGCGTAATTTTCACATTTGACCATTTCACTTAGCAGGACACTGAGCTTGACCGGACATTTTGAAAAATATTTTACACAGAATTTTTTACACTTAAAATATAGACATTTTAAAAATTTGGACTGAGCCGAGACCAAGATAAGCCCTCCCCTAACTATGCTCCTATCAAATACGTCACTGAACTGGTATAAAAAAATATTTTTTGAAAAAAATCACGCGAAATTTCTAACTTAAAAATTGAATACGTTTTATAAATTTGGAGTGAGTCAGGGTTTAGGTTAGCCCCCTAGATCTGCTAATGATCTCAAAACCATGTCATTAATTATTTAGAGTATGTTTGGTGAACATGTTTTTCGACTTATCGGGCTTATTAGTCAACTTTTTCACCAAACACGTATCTTTTGATTTCGCACGCTGAGTTGTGTAATACTACGTAATAAGAAAAAGACACGTAACTTTTGATTTCGTACGCTGAATTGTGTAATACGTAGTAATAAGAAAATGTAAGATTGTGGTTACTTTTCTGACTGTACTGACTAAACTTTTCTTTATTTTATTAATCAAAATATATCTAAATATAATTTTTTCATAAATAAACATAATCAACCAATATAATCAATTTAATCAGAACTTCATAATTTTAAGTAGAATTAATAGATTCAACCAATTTTGATATTAGCAAAGAATTTTAAAAATCATCTCATTCATCTCCTTTGCCCATTTACTCGACCGTCTCTTTAACCGATTTCTCTAAATTCTCTTTCCTTATTTTTCTTGCCTTTTATAATTATTTTCATTTTCTTCACTAAAATATTAATAATCCTATCACAATTTTGCTCCTTACTCTTCAACTTAAAATTTGAATAATTCTATATTTTTTATTCTTTATCAATCCACAAGGAAGGCAACTAAAATTTTATCAACTTTTATTTGAGCTCTAATTACATTTTTTAATTGATGTGACTTATATTTTCAACAATATAACTAGTGGTTTTGATAAGTCACGTTTGCCTAATTGCCTTGTTGATGATAAGTCCGGCAATGCTCTAGAACATCTCAATTCTCAATTATTAAAAAAGAAAAAGAAGTACGGCGTTGAATTTATGTGGTACAAATGGAAATGCAGCCCCACGTGCCCAAGTCGGTTTTTGCAATGGCAAAAGACAACAATGGGGTTAGTTGTGCACATTTCCCACCTACATTTACACCTTCAAAATAGATTCATACGGGTGGGCGTAGCTTAACTGGTAGCGAGAGAGTGCCGGATTAGGTCCCGAGTTTGAATTCCGGCAACTGCGATAAGATGTTACTATGCTAAAAGTGCATAGGGCCTTTGCAAGTACTGGGACGGACTCCACTCTCTATCTGTAGTATTGTGATTATAGTCCAATTTACATTCTCCCATCGTATTGTCGGGGAACTCTGGGATAAGGTGTATCTTTTTTTTCTAAGGGGGTGTTTGGAACTGATTCTGCTTCTGCTTCTTTTTTAAAAGCAGAAGCAGAATCAGAATCAGTTTTCAGAAGCTGGTACCCCCCAGCTTCTAAAAAAACTGATTCTGAGAGTAAATTAGAGCTCCAGAAGTACTTCTCGAATTTCACCCAAACACTCCAGCTTCTGCTTGTGCTCCCTGAAGGAGTAGAATCAGTTTTGAGAATCAGATCCAAACACCCCTAAATAGACCTGTCATCCGTGAAGCCGTGTACAGGACTCCAAATGTGAAAGAGGCCAAAATCGTATTTACCACTACTTTGTACTTTTCCACGGGTTCTAGAAGGACTCTCCTCCGCCGTTCATACTCCGCCACGCATCCGCTCTTCTGGCATGTGTTCCATCTTAACATATGGTACACCTGGTGGGGCTAGTAATCCGAGTTTTTACACTTTTGGTCACCGACACAGATGTTTTTATTTGGAAATTTGTTGGTCTAGTTTTGTTTGATTTGATTTGATTTGGTAAATATCTAATCTTTTTGTATTTATAATTAAAGAAATCTGATCTGATCTAATCTGGTCTGATCAGTTTAAGTCTGATCTGTTTAAATTTTGTTTGGTTTGATTTGAGCCTGAAAACAGTCAAAATAAAAACATCCGTATGTCACTCATACTTTTGATTTTTTCAACTTTTAATTCTTCAATTGTGTGGACGATATTTTTGGAAATATTCATATTTGACCTTTCGGCTTTCATAAAAGTGACTTTTTTTTGTCTTTTAACTATTGTAATAGTGACATATTTAGAAGTTGTTCTCTTCACCTGATCTGAATGTTTCTAATATGAATTTTTTAAGTTCTGATCTGATCAAATCTGAATATTTTTTATCTGATCTGATCTGATCTGATCTGAATCTTTCTGATCTGGTCTGATCTGATCTGAATGTCCCTGATCTGATCTGAATGTTCCTGATCTGATCTGAATGTTCCTGATCTGATCTGAATGTTCCTGATCTGATCTGAATGTTCCTGATCTGATCTGAATGTTCCTGATCTGATCTGAATCCTTCTGATCTGATCTGAATCCTTCTGATCTGGTCTGATTTAAATATTTCTGAAATTATAATTATAATTTTAATTTTTATTATAATAATTAGAAATGTAATTACACATATATAATTTAAATATAATTATAATTATAATCATAATTATAAAAAATTATAATTATAATTATAATAATTATAATAGGTATAATTATTATTATACGTATTACACTAGTTATAAATATAACTATAATTAGAGGAAACGGTCCAGCTCAACTGGTCGCCGACTCACTCTCCCTTATGGGAGGTCTCGGACTCTCGGGTTCGAAACTCAATGAGGTGAGTTTCAACCTAGTTTACTTCAGACCCCCCCCTCCAGACCCCCTCCCCCAGACGTCTCCTAGAGTAAAAAAACCATAATTATAATTGTACGTAATAATATTTTTAGTTATAATTATTTCAAATATTTTAATTTTAATTATAATTATAATATTTATTTCTATAATTTTAATTGTAATTACTCCGTGTAATATAATAATAACAAAAAAAAATACTAATAACAACAACAACAAGCATAATAGTAATAATAATAATAATCATGATAATAATAAATATCATAATAATAGTAATAATGATGATGATAATAATAATAATAATAATAATTATAATAATAATAATTATAATAATAATTACAATAAAAACAACAATAATAATAATAATAAATTAATAATAATAATAATAATAATTATAAAAAATAAGAATTATTATTAATACTATTATAATTATTATTATAATAAAAGGGATAAATCATGTCTGAACTTTTCTGATCTGATCTGATTGTTCCTGATATGATCTGAATGTTCCTGATCTTATCTGAATGTTTCTGATCTGATCTGAATGTTTCTGATCTGATCTGAATGTTTCTGATCTGATCTGAATGTTTCTGATCTGATCTGAATGTTTCTGATCTGATCTGATCTGATCTGAATCTTACTGATCTGATCTGATCTGAATTTTTCTGATCTGATCTGATCTGATCTGATCTGAATAAAATAAGAATAAGCAATAAGTAATAAGATTAAGACGAACATAACATCTTCTTAGTCGTTCACTTATTGTGGCAAAAATCATAGTTGAAGGACTAGAAGTGTGGATGTGATAATGTATCCCATTCTTCGAGGTTTCAAGAGGATGTTACTACTGCTTTAATTTTCTATTTCTACATGTTTCAACTTTCAAAAGGTGGAATCTCCCACTCCAGGAGCCTGCACACCCCGACCCGATAGAATGGAGGAGGAGTAAGTTACGGTGACTCAATCGATTTAATGGTGGTAGATCTTATATCCGTGTGCATCAGAAGCCCAACCCAACACGGATGTCATGTCAGGTCTAATCAAGCAATAAGCATATGAAATAGAGTCAAATTGAACTAGTAAATTTGATTTGAAGCAAATTCTACTCATTTTTGGAAATCCGTAGTTGAAACCAAGCTGAACCATTCCCACAAACGAAATAAATCGAAATCGGTATGAATCTGAGAAAAATCAACCGTAAGCTGACAGTGATAATGATCTTCATTATCATGAATGGGTTAATTATTTTTTATGACGATCTCCATTAACATTAATAGACTATTAATAGTGATAATGATCTCCATCAACATAAACAGACTACTAATACTCCCACCATCATTGTAACAATGTCTGGGTTCATATCCACTTGATTAACAAAAATTATTCTTAATCTTTTACTTTATATATTTAATTTTTATCAAATTTGCTTCTGGTTTTGCGACATTGTAAAATTTTTAATATAGTTTCTGAATATGTAAATTTTTAATGTAGTTTCTAGTAAACTTTTAATGGGGCGGAGGGAGTATTTAACGGTAATAAATTACTCCGTAATAAAGATCTCGATCAACATAAATAGAAATACAGGACCGAACTTATGACCAGCGTACTACGGAGTAGTATCGGTACATTATTGTTCGAGTGAAAATAATTATTTCCCTTGAATTGAAAACAAAAAACCCCTGGTTATAAGAGTGAGCCACCAAACCTAGGCATTGAGAGGGCGCCATTCATCATCTTCTTGTCCATGT